AATGAGGAATATATAGTTAGTGACTTAAAAAATCATGATATTGGTTGAGGCCTCGGCTGGTCCATAAATTATCACACATATTATAGGTCCAATCATTTGGTTTTCTTCCCGAATTTGAATAGCACGATAATAAAAATTTGCAGCATTCATTTTATTTCGCTGTATTCTCAGTTGCTTACAGGTTATTAGTGGCGAATGAAACGAATAAAGATTGAAAGAGAGTGGGAAAGCTGAAAGTTGAAGGTTTTACTGGAACGGTTGATTATTATGGGCTTTTTACGAAGTAAGGGTGGAGATTTTAGAGTCAGTTATCAGACACAAATGTTAGCAAAGTAAGCAAGACAATCATGATCATAAAAATAGATTAGGACTAAGATGAATTTAATCAATCAATTAATCAATCAATCATTATCAACATAGGACCAGGCATTACTGCGTAACTGTCCGAGTTACCACACCTCACGTCAGTTCATCAAGTAGAAAGGTAGTGAGGTGAATGATGAAGATAAGTGAATGCAGTCAAAAGAAATATAAAGTACGAGAAGAAAGGAAAGAGGAGTGACAAAATGGTAAGATTCGGTATAGTGTTATTAAGATGAGGATAATGTGTGAATACATCTGCGCCACTGACATCGGTTCTGAGCCATATCACCTAAGGTCTCCAACCACTGGTTCCTCTTGTCCCGTGGACCCCAACCACCTAGTCTGCATCGTCCTACATGGCTTAAACCAACAGTCAGAGACTTCATACATTAGTGCCATGTTTTAGTCTGGCCACCTCGGGCCTTTTTCCAGCCTGGACCCACCTCAGCCAACATTGTGTGACGAGGCAATCGGTGACTAGGCATACGTAGTACGTGTCCCAACCATCTCAGTCGATGAAGGTTCATAACCTTGTCAACTGACTTACCTCTTCTCCCTAAAACTCTACACCTAACTTGTGCGTTATTCACGTGGTGACACCACGGAATACGTCTTATACTACGAAGGCAACGGTGGTCAAAAAACACCTGGGCCAGCCTTCTCTTGTCTTCCACCTTGAATGGCCATGTTTCACAGCCATACAGTAGAACAGAGCGGACTGCTGTGCAGTACACGCGACCCTTAATAGACAAACGAATATCACGGCGGCGCCATAGGTGGGGGCAAATTGGCAAAAGCCAATCGAGCCTTTTGTATCCGTGCAGAGATTTCATCGGCCACTGAGCTAGCCACTAGGGTTGATCCTACTTCCCAGGTAAGTGAAGTGGTCAACACACTCAACCACTTCACTCTCTATTGTTAACCGCGGTACCGCTGAAGACCAGTCCTGGAGCAAAAATTTGCATTTGGGTGGTGAAAATCGCATCCCAAACATTCTCAAATTCCCACTCAAAGTGTTCAGAAGACTCTGCATCTTGTCAGCGTCTTCACCTAACAGGACTATGTCATCTGCATATTCTAGATCTAAAGAAAATTCACCTGTGATTCGGTCAACGTTTTTGTAATTAGGTGACGAGAGGGAAACCTCCATAAGAATATCTATGATAAAATTAAATAAGAATGGGGATAGTGGGCATCCTTGACGGACACCACTTGATGAGTATAGCTCCCTGGACAACTCACCATAGGCTCTAACATGCCCACAAGTGTTCGAGTAGAGAGCTTTCAATAAGGTGATGTACTTACTAGGCACGCCTTTCAGTGACAGACACTGCCATAAGACTTCTCGATCAACGGAGTCAAATGCCGCCTTCAGGTCGAGAAATACAGCTATTGTCGGGCGTCTGTAAGCATGCCTATGTTCCAGGACCTGGCGCAGTGTGAATATTTGGTCGATACATCCACGGCCAGGTCTAAAGCCTGCCTGGTTTTCTCGGGCTTGCTGTTCCCGAGCTCCACTCAGGCGTCGGAGAATTATAGAACTTAGGATCTTAGACACTATGTTTGTCAGGCTGATTCCTCTGTGGTTATCACAAGAGGACTTCTCGCCTTTCTTGAAGACTGGGATGATGAGTGACTTAGACCAGTCGGAGGGGATCGTATTTGATTCCCATATACTGGCTAACACTTCCGTTAGCCTGACTAAGAGAACTCTACCACCATTCTTGTATACCTCAGCAGGTAGTCCGTCTGGTCCTGCTGCCCTTCCCCGTTTCAGGCTACCTACCGCTTTCTCAACTTCTTCTAGTGTTGGGGGACCTGTCTCTATGTCCCATTCAGGGTCCGACTGGATAGCGGGCAGCGCAATGGTGGCTGGAGGCCAGTTAAACTGTTCCTCAAAGTGTTCTGCCCATCGTCCCAGTCGCCTTCCCTGCGAGTGAATCGCAGATCCGTCCTTCTCCGCTATAACCTCACTAACTGTTGTTGACCATTTCCCCCCAGTCTCCTTAATAAGTCTAAATAACTGTCTACTGTTACCGATCGCCGCTGCCTTTTCCATCTCTTTAGCCTTTGCTGCCCACCACTGTTCACGATCGTTGCGCAGACTTTTCGTCAGTTTATTTTTAAGTTGCGCTCGCTCTTCATTGTACTCAGAGCCTGCAGGGATGCATTCACGTGCATCCATTAGTTTGGAAGAAGCTGCTGATATCCACTGGCTCTTTTTAGCCATTATCTTGGAGTCGGCTACAGTCTCCAGTGCTGCTTTTACAGTAGACTGAAGATGGCACCAAGCTTCTTCTGGATGAGTGACAGTCTTTTGTTCCGATAACTGCCTAGCCAACTTCTCACTGAACACGGCTTTGGTGTTTTCGTTGTCCAGCAGAACTCGTAGTGGCCAAATTTTTTCTACGTCCATTGAGACGCAGGCATATACGTGCTCGGACCAACGCATGATCGCTGTCCAAACACGTACTCCAGAAGGAGCGGCAGTCTTCCACCGATCCTCTCCAGCGATGACTAATAGCAATGTGGTCTATCTGTGTCCATCGCTGAGTCGAGCTCGGTGGACGCCAGGTCAGACAGTGCCTTTCTTTATGTCTGAAATTGGTGCTGGCTAAAAATAGGCGGTTATCTGAGCATAGTTGTAATAGGCGATCACCGTTATCTGTACGTTCAGCTGGGATTCCGAAAGTGCCACCTAAGTGCCTTTCTGCCTCACTCAGTCTACCCACCTGTGCGTTGAGGTCACCTGCAGTCTACGGTAGAACTCATCCTTCACTTCATCCGAACTACAGTCAATGGGTACGTAAGCAGAGATTACAAAGAGACAACAGCGAGTTTCACTAGTCCTTTTAGTTCTCACTGTGCCGTTCAGTCGGGTAGCGCAGAGGCGACTATCAACTGAGGTCCGGTCTATTAGTGAGTTTTCTGCCCTAGTGCTTAGTGCTGTGCCTACACCTGCAAGACCACAAGAGCTAGCTATCGAATCTCTAGAAACTCGGAGGGTGAATTTCACGGATTCACCAGATTGGCCAGGAGAGGTCAGGTGAATAACCACACTTGGGCCCTGTATGCGTGTCTCACAAACACAGCACACATCCATGGCTCGAGTTGCTAAAGTCTTTGCTAACGAAGCCTGTTGACCGATTTGACGGAGGGTGCGGACATTGAAGGCTTCAATATGTAATTTGAAGCGTGGTTTAAGGAGACCAGGGAAGCTGTTCTGTGAACTCAGATCGTTGTCGAAGGCTGCAGAGGTAGGAGAAATTGAAGATGATGCAGCATCGTTAATTGAGAGACATGATTGAAGATTAGGAGGTAATGATGGTGGTGGTGGATAGCAGTCTGAGGAAACTTGAGTGCTGATCGAGTTGTGAGGGCGGTTGACACTTCCCGGTTACCCACACCGTGAAAGGCTATTTCTTCTTAAGGTACCTGAAAGAGATTTGGGTGACCGCAGAGCCCTGTGGACATCTACTTGAGGCCTGTCATACGAAGCCTTTTGTGTATGATTATTTTGAACTTTTGTATTTTTGGGGCCGGATGGTCGAAAAGAAACGACAAGTGAACCAACACTGCCGGCCTGGCGGACCGTGGGGCATGGTGGAGTGTGTTATTTTTGGGGCCGACCTTTTCTAACCCCCCCTTCCACTGAGAAGGCAGCATCAGCATGGCACTGCTGGTCATCCAAGGGAAGCACCTTACTGCTGTCACACCCCATCGAGCTAGCAGCAGTACGACTTCGCCCTCAGACCCCCATCAAAGTGTAGCTATTTACACTATAACGGTAACTGCTTTTCGTCGAACCACTATCCAACAGACCTTTCTGGTATGGTAGGACCTCGAGAGAACAAGCGTTCCACCAGCATAGCTTGTTGGGTCATTGTGATATGCAAGCCCGATGACCACGTCAAGGTTGTAGCTATCGGTCGTGAGATGAATTTAAACAAGGCAAGAAAGACTAATTTTGTAGAACAAAGTGAATTTGAGTGAAAGATCAGCGGGATATAATCACTAATAAGACAAAAAATAAAATAAGCGGGAACAGAAGACAAAAGTCTAAGCTTCTCACCAGTGTTAAAGACAAAGATCAGTTTTCAACCTTTTGACTGAAATAGCTTCTCCCTGCGAACTGAAGCGGAGTAGAGCTAAACTTTTTATTGATGATTTTAAAAGCATTTTCGCTGTCAACATCATATCCCATCGTAAGCAAATAATTGGCGATTGAGCTAAATCGTGTGAATCTTTTGTAACCAGTCACTGTTGAGTTGGTATGCTCATCTAAATTAAATGAAAATATTTCTGCACAGAATTTTGGCTAATCAGAGAATTGTACAAAAGATTACTTTGTGACTCACTGGGTCTTCCAAGACTTATTGACTAGAAATACTACGCCGTTATTAATCTACATGATGTTGCATCGTAGTCCATTATATTCGATTTTCATCTGAAAGCCACAAACCTAGGGCAAACTAGCACAAGACTTAGATTTATAACTGCATACTATCTCCAAGCATTCAATAATAAATGATTAGCTTTTTCTCATATATATATCACCTTTTATTTCATTTACTAATGAAATTAGGGGATAAACTCATAATAATGTGTTCCATTCAAAAAATTTGAATACGTTTCAGGCTAAGGATCATGATGCTGAAAACGAGCCTATGCCTACCTCTCTGTCTTTGGGTACAGATAGAAAGGATAGTGAATACATGTCTGGTGTACTGAATTTGGATGCACTGACTTCAAAAATTAAACAGGTAAATACACTAAGTTACATACTTTTATGATTTTATGGTTCGGTATATAACTTCTCATAATGCTTAAGTTTATTGAATTGATAGTTTTTGATAAATTATTGGTTCCCACACGTTGTGCGGTTTATTCTTTTCTGAAACATTGAGCACTAAACATACATTTTTCTGGTTTCATCACTCGTCGGTATAGTACATCCATAAACCCTATAGAGATGGGACCCAGAACTATCAGGCTTCATCAAGAATACTGCAGTCTGAGTTATACACTTATGTGTTATTCAAATGAGTTACTATTAGCATTTGAAAACTTCACTGTGAGACCTAACGATTCGCCGTTCTCACTGCAAAGTTTGGTGCCCCTGGGCCTAATCCCTAATGGGGTCGTTGATGTGCACTTTAGAAGAGTCCCAAACTACGACGAAGCAACTTTCAGATGGTCTCATTTAGGTCTTCGTGACTCTGTCTGACATCAGTCCATAATGAAAACTACTTTGAAGACTTTTATAGTTCTTTTGTACTGTATTGTCGTGAGCATCTAGCATGAATCGTCACTTTAGCACTCATCAGCAAGTTATGATACACCAAGTTCGTTCTGAGACTTGTATCTACTTTTTGTGGCAGTGCATCCAGAGAAGTAATTACAGGATTTGGGGTTGGAGAATGGCAATTCTGGAGTTCTAGATAAAGCATATGAATTATTCTCTGGATAGTAACCATTTTCAAGCTTTGGTTGCTTTTATGTTACTCTGTTGACTAGTAGCACCATATGTGATGTGTTAAATAGTTTCGCATCATTGATTTCTTGTGGTTATTGCTTCAGTCTGCTGAATAGTCAGATAGAACAGGATATTATAGTGTAAGCAGATGTTCATATTTTATAAAGCATCATTTCTTTTCTTGCGTATTGAATATTGCCTACGAAAAAACAACAGCGAGTAGTGCGTACTAGTAACATACTAGTCTGTTTTATAAGTAAATTCCGATAGGCAGTCAAGATCAAAAGATTAGTATTGTTTACTTTCTGGCAACCAGTTCTGTAATTATAAAACCCAGTATTTTATTTTACTGCTCAGTTATTATCATCATCCTGTCTTCTTATTTCTTAGGGATTAGGACATGAGCTATCTGATATGGAGATTTTGAAACTAATATCAAATGGGCAACTTAAAACTCGTGAATTAGAATCAGTTGTACGTAATCCATCACGAGCTGTTGAACTTCGACGCTTAGACTTGTCAACATTTCTTAATAATTCACACATAATTGAGCGCATTCCGTATAAGGATTATGATTATCGTTTGGTATATGGTCAATGCTGCGAAGAGGTGAGTCATAGTAATCCTCATTTTATATTGTTGAATAATTTTCAGACTTGAACATCGCAATCGGTGTTAGCTAATAGAACCAGCTATTATTATTATTATTATTATTATTATTATTATTATTATTATTATTATTATTATTATTATTATTATTTGTCTCTTGGGTTCCTAGTGGAACATGGAGCTTCAGTAGCACGCCTCCATTTCACTCTCTTCTCTGTAGTCTCTTGAACCTGGCTCCACGACTGACCACAAGTTTTCATTTCTTCCTCACACAAGCTCCTCCATGTCACCCTCGTCTCAGACGCCCAACTCGTCGTTTCCCCTTTAGATTTCACTCGAGGGCCTGGTCCGACGCGAGATGTCACCGAATGGTCTTCTTAGTGTATGTCCAATCCATCTCCACTTTCCTCCGCATATTTGTTGGGCTATGGGTTCTTGGTTGGTTCGGTGTCGGCCAGTCAGAGTTTCTTGTTGCTTATTCTTCTTATTCTAGCCATCTGATCTCCATCTTCAGTATTGAGTGAGAGTAGGCGGCAACTGTTGATGAATGTCTGTAGTTTGTTGGAAGTGCTTTTCGTGACTCGCCAAGTTTCCGAACCATATAAGAGCACTGACCTGACTAATATTAGTGTTGTAAATCCCAATCTTGTTCTTTATGCTGAGTGCAGTGCAGTAGATCTCCACACTGATTATTTCAGATTCATGAGGACCTGTCTTGCTTTCTGATCCTGGCTTTGACATTCTCATCTGTGCCGCCGCCGCCTGTAGTTGAAACGATGCTGCCTAGGTAGGTGTGTGTGAAAGAGACTACTTCCTTTAGGTTTCTCCCATTCACGGTGATTGGTGCCTCTTGTTGTTGATGCTGTTGTTGGTTGGGTATCTTCATCACTTCCGTCTTCTCTACATTCACTTGAAGTCCCGTTTTCGCTGCCCTGCCTCTTCTGTCAACTTGTTGGTTTTCTCCTGTAGATCTTTGAGTTTGTGCTACAAGACATTAGACATAAATCATCGTCATCGGCAAAATCCGAATTTCCTGGGGTCTTTTCATCGGTCCAGCCAGCGCATGCTCATCTTCTCGCTCCTCATGATTTGCTTCACGATCCAGTCCAGTCGACCACAATCAGGAAGATCATGGGTGATGGTAGGCGGCAGCCTTGTCTTACTTCTGTCTTAACTTCAAAGGGGTCACTGAGCTTTCCATTGTGAATCACTCGACATGTAGCACCATACAGCATATATCTGTTGAATGAGGTTGATAGAGATTTGTGGCAACTGCCTGACAAATTACTGACAAAGTAACTTGGATAGGAGCTTTATAGGTAAAAAGATTTTATTGATCTCATTAGGCAAAACAATTGAGTTCACCGAAACTCTTGCAATGATTGCGAGGTCGAATAAGTGAGTCAAAGTAGTTGGGCAGGACCGATAAGACTGTCCTAGCACAAAAACTTAACTAAACCAAGAGTAGTAGATCCTAATAAGACAAAGAATTAGAGGAAAAACTCGGTTATAGCTACGCATGCAGTTACACACAACCATACAACAATGAGGGATACAGTAAGTATTAAAAAACAACTTCAGATGGATGAAAAAATAAATTGAGGATGGAATCTCTGCTAATCAAATCAACACCAGATAGTTTCAACCGAAGTGACTCAGCACCTGTTCCAGATATGTAGAAAATCCCATTACACGATATCAAAAAAGAGAATCAGAACTATATAAACTTAGTCTCGAGGTTGTGGGATTTTTTGATATGAATATGGATAATGATCTGCGAAACACAGTCCGGTAAATAATAATTTAATAAACAGACTAAAAGGGAATTGAAGTCAGGCGCATTCAGTAGATATCTAGTGTCTTTAATTTTATTGGCTTACTCATCTAGAAATGAATACATGTTGTTCAATTCCTATCGGTTACAACTATTTGAAACATCGTGTATAAATATACACTAAGTGATTGATGTTTCCTTCCACTTAATTTGATTATTGGTGCAGTGAAATGCTCAAAGCCCTATATGAACAGCTACTACTGAACGTTTTGTAAATTTTTCTGAACGCATCTTCTCCAGAGATTCGATTTATAGTTTATCTTTTATTTTCACTTTGAATTTTCAGTGACTAATAATTTTCATCCACATAACATGATAGTCATACAGACAAATGAGAAAAATATGTACAGAAAATACTGCAAGATGATTTACGTTGCTGAATATCACATGGAAGTCACTACATTGTGCTTTCTGCACAGCATGCTGTGAAACATCACGTGACAAATCGATTCAGTTCACAATTCACATGCTTCTTTTCCACGAACTGAAGTGAGACGCTTTTTTAGTTCACTGTTTACGCTAGACCAGCACCATTCTAGAAGTCTTCATTTGACCAGTTATAAAAATTGAATATCTTTACATCTAATATAGTCAGCCCTCATATACTTGTCAAATGAAAAACTGCTTCACAAAAGATCTTTTACTCATACAGTTAATACAGTGTAAGTATACAAACTTAACGACAACAAAGTGTTTGCATCAACAGAAGTCACATGCATGTTATAGAACGTAATACAACTGAACTGTATGTGTAAAATTCATAAGTACGTGATAAAAAAGAAATGAAGTATATACAGACGGATAACTACATAGTTTTCACTGATTTTTAGGTAACGTTACCAAACATTCTGGTGCGTGAAAACTAATTTACAAATGTATAATGTTCAGTGCATTATACTGACTTATTAACCTATGTAGTGCTATTTACATCCTTACATGATAAGTCGGAAATTTTATGACCGGAAAAAACGAAAACGGTATCATGAGATTAATATCAGAGGAAATGAGTACTTGACATAAGAGAAGAAACTATGACCAACTAAAATAAATGTACCTTAATCTGCTACAGATGTCTATATAATAATAGGGTATGAATCACACTTATTGTCTGAAGGCTTATGATGCTACCGTGGCCGAAGTAGGTGCAATTGAGTTTGAACCCAATACCCGTGGTTGTACGTTAAATGCTTAAGTTGATAGACCATGTCTCCATAGATACAACAGAAAATGAAGTTATTCTTCGATAAATTCATTTGAAGGACTGAACTGACAATTCAACTGCCATCGGAAGTCCACTGGTCATCTACGTTATAGACGGTTAAAGTGGGTGTTGAGTACACGGTCAGGAGCATGATTCCTCGCCAGTTCTTGCAAGCACTCACTTAGGTGTCTCCCTTCTTCTGGAGTTTGACAAGATAGTCCTTCTTCCAATCAGTCTGCAGGTATCTTTCCTTTCTTCATTGCAAACTTTCTGCATTAGTGGTGCGAGCATGTCTGCTGTCGTCTCTGCGCCTGTTTTCAGTGCTTCTGGCAGAATTCCATCTCGTCCTTCTACTTTGCTGGTTTTCAGCAGTTTTATGCCATTCAGGACTTCACTTCTGCTTTTCGTCGGAGGGCCTGTCTTCACTGGTAGTTCTGCCGTTGCTGGTGGTATTTCTGGACGAGTTGCAGGTGGTGGTGGTCGACTCAAGAGCTGTTTGAAGTGGTAAGCCTATCGTTCCCTCTGTTTCTCCTCTTTAGTAGCTAGCTGTACTTCACTACCTTTCATTGGTTTCGTCTGCGTTGATCTCTTCCCTCCCTGGTTATTTGATATAATGTTGTCATGTCTCTGTCTCTCCTACCTGCAGCCTGTTCTGCTTCACTTGCAAGTGTGTCGTAGAAGTGTCTTTTGTCTTTCCGTGCACTCTTCTTCGCTTCTTTGTCCAGTGTAGTGTTTTGTAGGTTGTGTTCAATTCCTCTTTTCGTTGTTCATCCCCGCACTGCACTGCAATACAATGCAATGCAATGCACTGGTTCATCTTCTGCTTCACCATCTTCCTCTCCCCCCTCTATCAGCTTCCATTTGTCCATGGAGAC